GGTGGCAACTCAGACATGCACAAAATTTTTTTGGAGATAAAGTCTTACTAGTAGTGAAGCACTAATCACTAAAAGGTAGAAACTGCGTGTGCGGCCTTGCAGGGCAGTGAATCATGAGACGCACAAAAGGACTTCAAATAATGGGATGAATAAGGAAAATTTCAGTAAAAACTCGACGAACTATACAACACGACTTCTGTAGGGTTTGAAGAATAGAACATTTTAAAACCAACCATATCAACTTCGCAGTCACCTATTGCCTTTTCTACAAAACAACAAGAGTAGTCACACAATTTGCAATTTTTTGAATGAGTTCATAATATGCTTATTTTTCAAAGTTGGTCAGTCCAGCAATTATGTTGCTTTTTTGATAAAATGACATAATGTAGGGTCTTAATGAGACGTATGTGCACCCTTATCTACAGTACTGTAGTCCCATTTTTGACGTGTTGGTAAAATGGAGAACGACAACGTCATCTGTTAACATCATCAGTTTATGTCACACAAAACCCTTCTAGAATAAGCTGATATTAAGTCCTTAGAGCAACTTAATTTGCATCGGTATGGCAGCAGCCTGCAGAGCAGGCGTAATTTCGGCGGGAGAGCGCTCGGAATTATCTTGGTAAAAATTATAGCTGTCATCTTTGAATTTTACAGCAGCGGAAGGCTAGGGAGAGAAAGAAATTTGTACCGGGGGGGTAAGTGACAGCATAAAAGAAGGGGAGTGGGGGAGGTGGGGCTATGAATATAAATCTCTTTGCCTTTTCCCGCCCCTTTCCCCACCTTCGATTCTAACTCCAAATCAAACATGGCCGGTTGAATAACCAGTCGCGAGCTTCTTAACGTTCACTCACCCTAATAATACATATGCAAAAATTTCAGTATGCTCATTGGCTAATGAGTTAACACTGGTTAATTATTTCTTTGAGGAAAAAGAGAACTCAGCTGCAATTTTGAATCAAGCAGAAAAAGTGGAATGTTATTCAACCAGTGCTCAGAAAAACGAAACAACAAAGTTGGCTAATGTTGCGAAAGAGCCGAAAATTTGGACTTACTTCGTTATCATTTCAAACATTATCACGCCGCTTCCTGGAATTTTAAAAATGCTGTTTTGCCTTACTTTCGCACGTATATCCGCTCTGAATGTTGGCTATTGTTAATTCTAATCATCGGTCTCATAGCAATACCTTATTTCTTCTTACTCATTCACTATCGATCTCTTCATAAATCTCCCCCGGATGTCCGCGCTCCGATGCACTACCTCTGAGCCACAGAGACTCTTTGGTGAACGAGGCCTATTACGAAGTTCATGTAGGACACGCGTCCAGAATACTGTCAGGATCAGCGATGTCGATAGCATCAAAGTTTGCGCCTCTTTCCTCTTACCACATTTTAACTTCTCATTTTCTGAGTTGCAAAAAGCAAAACATTTTAAATCCCCGTGAATTTATCATGCTTCAAAGAAGAAAAAAATACAATTAAAGGGTGTTAATATATGAAAATCATTTTTGAACTGCAGATTAGCAAATAAAGATAAGAATAATCTTTGCAGTAATGAACACTACTTAACCCTTTCAGAAGTGATTCCCATGTAACTTCTCCTTTTTAATATCCATACGTCATTAATCAAAAAAGTAATTAGGAAGAAGCTGTTTTTCTAGATCTAAAACCAAATTTTTGTAACTAATTTACAAGGAAATGTAAAAGCAGCGAGAGGGGAGAATTAACAACCAGATCTTGGCTGTGGAAAAAAAAAGCCTGAAAAAATGTCGCACAGCTCACGGTTCAACTAGCTTACAAACCCGAATTTTTTTCGGACTGAATTTTCACTGCTGCTCAAATAGTTTGTGCTCAAACTTAACATTCGAAGCAATAAAATATATTTATGCAATGTTCAAATCCAAAAAAGGCGCTCGATTTCCCTCAAAGATCTTCATTGCTTCGAAGAAATCTCTCCTGAATGTGCGAGGATTTGAGAGGTCACATGAAAGACGCGTTTATAAAATGGTTCCACTTGGCCTGCAATGCATGCCGATGCATGCCGATGCAACGACCTCCTTTGTAGTGGTCATAGCCATGATGATCACTCTCATCTTCGTGTACGGTTTAAGCAGGTAGAGTTACTCCCCACAAACTTAAAAAGTGTTGAAAAGATTTTGGATGACATATCATTGCCATAAATTTCTAAGGAAGAATTGGTTTCCTTTATATTTCAGTCCCTGACTCATAGTCGCACCTCCACCCCCCTCCCTCCCCCTTCCCCTCCGCAACATTCCATTAGTGTCCTTTAAAGATAAGACTCCCTGATTTTTATAGAGTCACTTTAACAATTCATTACAAACTCCAGGAGAAATTCAAGAACCATCCATCAATTTATGGAGCATAATGTTTCAATCCTCAATGCAAATTCAACTGTTATTGAGTGCGTGGTTTAGCAAAGTATAATTAAGAATTTCATGAAGAATTGCATGAGATTGCCTCGTGCATCATTGTTTTCCTCAATAACAGCTTAGGGAATGTGTGACGTATACGAATGATTAAGGGGAGTATTTCAAGTAACGTAACAAGGAGTGCTTTTGTGCACTGTTCTGCTATTTGATCTGTTGTCCTCTTCATTGGCTACATTGCTGATTTAAGGTTATTCAAGGTCTCATAGAAAATGCGGAATGTGTTGTCGTGATACATGTCAGTGGAATAGCTTACATTGGTGAGATCAGTTCGTTTCTCGTTTTGGGTGAAAGTTGGGAGAATAAGGAAGGCAAAACATATCTACGTTAAAGAAGAATCAGTTGAAACCCACAATTCAGACCAGCTCAGTTGTTTATCACGGATCAGCTTCAAATGTAGGTATCTTATTAAATCGTAACTCGGACATTCAGAATGGTACGCTTGGCATCATGATGCCGGCTTTGCCATGGTGCTTGCAAAGATATCAGCTACGTTGTACTTACTTGGGATGAGCTGTCTTTCGAAAATGTTTTTGGTTGAAAGATGAATCCCCTCGAGTGCTAGTAGTTAGGACAGAATGGTAAATAAGATCTAAAATCTTCTCAAAAATTTAGAATTCTGCCATGCGTACCATTAAAGAAAAGCAGCGTGTTGATCGGGAGCTCTTTTAAGAGCTCACAGAATCCCCGGTCAACCCTGCCGAAGTGTTGTGATGCTCTTCAGTGCAAATTGAGGAGAATCGGGTACGTTATCATCGTGTTGCCACCTCCTGTCGGAAAAGCTCTTCACAGAAGAGTGGATTATACTGTTAAGAAGGTGAACCAAGCCTCGAATGGCAACATTCACCGGGCCGTGAGATCAAAGTACTGGGTTTGCCTCTCACTTCATCCGGACGAGATCTTCCGAGAACCAGATGGGGTGATCGAGGGGCTGTCAAAAAGGGAAAAAGAACTGGTTACTGAAAACCAAAGACCATGGGCCGAGATTAAAGGTAACAACATATTTATTCCATGCACGTTTGAAGCAATGCGATACGTTTGTCATCAACCCGAAGTACACACAATAGGCCTACACTTTTATCGAAGTGAACCTGATCAAACGACAATTTTTTTTTTTTTTAAGATAAAGCATCACAGCTCTATGACGCTATGATCAAGCTCACTACTGTTCAGAAACAGAACTGTTATAACGGACATAACAGAAGAAGTCAGGCGACATCAACAACAGCGTCATGTAAGGAAATAAGGTTAGCTAATTTTACGTATTATTTAACCGTGGTTCTTGTATTTATTTTCTTAGTATTCTTCCGGTATGCATTTTATACTTAGGTAATTAAATATTTTTATACACACACGTCTTTGGGTATGAATGATGTATATGAAATTAATCAATCTTTGCTCTATTGCAAAATAATCATATTTTAAAAAAGTAGGATGTAAGGCTATAAAAGTTACACAATTAAATGACTAGAAAGTCAAAAACCAATTCAAGCAGGCTTAAAGCAAAGTAAAGATATTTGGCTCGTTTAATGTAATGGATCACTTGAGAAAATGATAACCGTTCTCGAGAAATCAGATGGATGGAAGAGAATAGTATTTAAAATGCTAGACAAGATCTAACACAACTTTTAATGATTTTCAGGTGCAATATGAACCACCTTTGCGGCTATTTTTAGCCACCTGAGCTAAAAAGAGGATTAAACAAAGATTGGACAACACAACCTGGATGCCAATATGCCTTTGGATCATGTCATGATAGACTCCATCTGATGCTGAAGATAACAGACCGGCTTGAGGAGGGCATAATTATGGATATTCTAAAGTCAATATTTTTCCAAATACAGAAGAAAATTTTACTAACCTCTCTAAACTTTGTGCCGCTCGCAACCACCGCCATTTTCTTCTTCTGACGTAAAAATAGAAGCGCGCGCAGACTGTTGAACGACCGCAAGACCCACGGGCCTTCTGCCCAGGCCATTCTTGAAAGTGTCCAATTTTTGGCGTATTTCTCGCCGCCACGACTGAAGAGCACAAGACTTGCTGCAGTCCAGAAAGTATCCATTTTACGCTTAGCCCTTTTTCAAAAGACGTATAACTGAAAAAAAAAACATCGGGCGCCACGAGAAGTTGAATACTGTACTGACTCTGAATGAATGTTACCAATCAATTGATGCAACATGACACTCTAGCGTAATGATTGAAGTGGTCTTGTGTGATAATTTGCCAGATCAGCGCAAAGTGGCCCAGAATTTTAGCGTAACTTGTAGCACTTGCGAAATCATAATTTTCTTTTCTTTTCTTTTTTGTAGGGCCGCAAAGACAGGATAAATACACGCAGGGCCGTCCCTACATTAATGTTATTTTCAAGAAACAGCAAATCAGTCTCAATAAAATAATCGTAATTGCTCCATTATGGTCCCCATTTATCTTGTTTTGCTTTTCTAAGTAAAAACATCAATTTCCTTAATAAGACGGTTAACTTTACTTAACAATGGTGAAGTTGATCATGAGTTTTTATCACGTTTGGTGGCTTCTAAAGAAGCCGTTTATTTGTTAGGCAGCTTTCTGTTCACTGCAAATTTCTTGAACTCTTTCCATTGGACGGGAAGCTGTCTTGCGGCCGTGCTCGCCTAGGAAGGCAGGCGACTTGCCAAGAAAAAACTTCAGGTGGACAAGAGCGTCGACTTGACAACCACCTCCTGTTACTGTTAGACATATTTTCAGAGAAGAACCAAGGCTTGCTGCTATCAGCTCGTCTTTACTGGCGAGGTATGCACTCCCTAGAGATCTAACGGCAACCCAGGGAAGATCGCTCGCAGTGCATCGTGACCCACGGTGTTGGTTTCGTTGCGGAACAGGGGCACTTTTAAACCCTTCTCGAATAGAATACATAGTCACTCTCTACATTTATCGGCGCGAGGTGGATCGACACACCTGTTCTCGAAGGCGGCGATGAGATCTTCCGGCAAATGTTCGGCTGGTTCCCATGTATTTTCACCAGGGGAGTAATTCTGCCATTGGATGATGTATTCCACTTTTCCTCCTTTACCTCGTTTTGCAACAATGTGCTCCACTTCGTAAACTCCCATTACAGTTGGCTTTACCTTCGGACAGCATTTCCAAAAGAAATCCTACAGTTGCATCAGGCTCTTTCATATCCCTCCATTTTTTAAGTACTGCAGATCCTCATCTCTAGAGTACTGATAATCTGTTTTGGTATTGCGAAGTTTGCTTTCTGGTATTTGAAGAACTGCTCCAAGTTCCTTTCAACAGGTTCCTCGCCGCCCTGAGTAGATTTGTTTTAAAATCGTTCAATTTTCATAATTTTCAACACAGAGCTACGCAAGGTTCTGGTCGTAAATTCTTATAAAAAAAAATCAATTATTGTAAGTCTACTGAGCAGGGCGCGTAAAAGCTAAAATTTCGTACGCTAGTCGCTTCGTCTTTCGAACGGAATATGTTATTTTTAAATGTCATTTTCAAATGTTGATATGTATTATTGAAGAGAAGATATGAATAAATGCCTTTGAAAAACAAATGTGACATCCTGGAATGATGATTAGAAGCGAAAAACCCAAAAGCAGCACCAAAAACTAATACGTGACTTTGCTAATTGATCCTTAAATTTTACAACATTCGTTGATCATGCAAAGAATCGTTCAATGTTGGATGGGGCATTTAAACACAATCTTGATCCGATGGGAAGGATATTTGAACGAGCCAATATTCAAGAGTTAAAATGCCCGGTTTATTGTCGGCGGGGAAGGGAGAGAGATGTTGAAGCTTCGAATTTATCGATGTGTTAGGTCTGTACACCAAAAGAAAGCTTTGCCTTTCTTAAATAAACTTAGTTTGCGTATGTTTCTTCGAAACTTTTTCAGAAACTACATCCATTCCACAAGAAATTAAGAACAGCATCATTCATGAGTAAGTTTGATCTTTTTGGAAATCGTATAACTAGTATAACTCGTATAACTTATTATGGCTGTTTTTGATGTTGTAATCGAAGAGAGATAATATAGTTTCGTGAGTCAGTCACCAGACGAGTCAATTAATGTGCGTACGAACGTATGGCTCGCTAAAGAAGGGGTTTAAGCTCTGACATCAGGTAAAAAAATCAAGGGGTAGATGTGAGTTATGTTTTTACTAATATGTGTGTAAGCATTATCCTTCACTCGCTTGAATTAGTCACAAATAGGAAGGCACAACCAAAGGATTTTGGTGTCATTGTTTGTATGAAATAGCTTTTCCTTACTTTGGTCGTAAACCAATTTTATTTCGACTTCTGAAAGCCATTTGATTAACGTCTATTACCGTCTATGATAAGAACCAGACCGGAGTTATCTCAAAATTGACATGGCGTGAGTCAGGAATTCACCCTAACGAGTAGCTTTCCCTTTGCCTTGTTCCGCACGACCTCAGGAAGAACTTTTAAGCAGAAGGAGTGAACACCGTAGTAAATGGTCAACATCTTTTCTTACAGATTCTTGGTATCAGAGGAAGGTTTCACTGAGGACTGCACAATACTCACTCATCTAAACCAGACTGAGGTAGCAGTTTCCTATTTAATTTCTTGTTCATAAACAATATGATATTTTTTGAAAACTTTTCAGATCTACAAGATGAAAGTTCCGAATGGCAAAGTGAATTATCTTTTGTTCGGGCTAAAATAACCAGTTTTTCCCACTATGCCGTTATTTGTCGTCTTAAGAACAACAAACTTCGAAAAGAGGATTCTGGGGAGGGTCCAGGATTAAAAATCAGCGTAACAAATTTCCCGCGTTTTTTGTTAAGCCTTTGCAAGTGTGGACCTCGTCATTGAGGTAAAGGCAATAGACATAATTGAAACACTCTCTTCTTTACATCTTTTCTGTTTTAAAATTGTATTGTTTGCGCTGTTATATCACACGTAATTCTATACACTTTTAAGTTTAAAAAACTTCATTCTTTACAATAAAATACTTGCACTCTTCAAATTGCTTTACAGATCAGTATTACATAATACACGTCAATCCTTTAACTCCCACGATCCAATAATTCTCTCCTCTTGCTGCTACACAATTCCTTGGAAATTATTTGTGAGAATTTGGTGTAGAATCAAGATTAAAATTTCTTCTTGATAAGTTTTAGTATTCTCATTAACCGTTTGCTCTAAATATCATAGGGAGAAGTTACGTGTTAGTCACTTCTGGGAGTTAAAGGGTTAATCATCCTGAGGTGATTAAACAAAATTCTTACAACACTACTCATAAAATAGGAAAGTAAATCATTAAAAGAATTAAAGAAAAATGCAAAAGTAATAAAGAACATAAATATCCTGACTAGTCATCCAAATGTGTTTTGAACAAGTCTGAATATCCATAAAATTTTATCATGAAGAAAAAAAAACGTTCAGAAACATGATTCCGAAAAGTGAAAGGGAAAAATAGCCAACAATGTTTGGTTTTAATCTTTGTTATAAGAGAAACGTACAGGATATGACTTTTGAGCCTTAAAAGCTATAAATGCTGGCGTTATGCCCGGTCAGCCGAATGTAAGCAGATTCGGCAGTAAGGTTGAAACGAGTAGCAATGGCAGTAGGAGGTCCTACAGGAGGCGGTACACCGCCTGTAATTGGCTGTTATTGAAACCCCTGCGGTAGTAACCAGTAAAAGGACAAGAATAATGATACTAAAGGCTCCCTGAAATCAGCGCTACCCTCGCACTGTGTATTTGTTTAATTTCCTTAAAAAAAGATGTGAAATCTTAATTAGATGAGATGTGCATCTTGGAATCATCTTGAACTCGCAACTCTACAGACAACAGAATTCTGAAAGTAGATCAATGATTTCGTTTGCTTATTGAGTCATTATTCAGATGTGACATGCTATGGTGACATGCTATGATGAAATGTAACACCAGCTAATTTACAAGTGTTTTCACATAAATTAGAATTAAATTTTAAAATAAATTATATAACAAATGAATAAACATTTTAACATTTTTAAAAGTTTCAGTCAGGATGATAAAATACAATCTAAAATAATTTCACGTTACGCCAAGAAATAAAACGATAATCATATGCACTAAAAAGTTGGGTAAAAGGCCCAAAAGATCAATGTTCTTTACACCGTTTTTGAAGGTCTGAATAGTTCCAACAGTTCTGTGTGACTCTGGCGGCAGATTCCATAGCTACGACGCTAGGTAACGCCACGATTACAGTCTCTAGGTTGTGGTGTTGTCCTTAGGCAATTTTTTGAGTGTCGGTTACCTCAGATCTTCTTTAGTGTTTCTAAAATCTATTAAGTTTTTTATGCTTTTAGGAGCATGATCGTTATTAACAGCTTTAAAAACCGTACAAACTATTTTTGCGAGTCTTTGATTAGTCAATAACAGTAAGCCTATCTTATTGAGTAGTTCCTGGTAGTGCGTTTGTTTTTCATTTTAAAAAATCGCAATGCACGTTCGTTTACTTTTTCAAGTTTTGCACTAGCACTTTTACTGCAGAAGAGCTAGGTCTCAAAGGAAGAATTGAAATGGGAAAGGATGAATGCAAAATAGATGTTCTTTCTTGTTTCGAAATGGAGCATCTTTTTCTTACACTTGAGGAAGGCAAATTGTTCAGAGACTTTTCTGCAAACTTTGCCTACATATTTTTCAAATTTTAGTTTTTCGTCTACCACAACTCCAAGCTCCTCAAAATCTTCGGTAATGGGGATTTCTGCGTTTTCACAATAAAACTGAGGCGTGGTTTGCGTCTTTCCCATGAAGATTGCTTCAGGGTACTTTGCTGGGTTTCTTCACGTACCATTTCCCTCGAGCCATATGTCTTCACGAGCGGCGTCATTGTTGATGGTTTCTTCAATTTTCGCGGACTCTTTGTCGGCATAAATTATCCTCGTGTCGTCTGCGTTGGCAGTTTGTCAGAGCGATTGACGAAGGGCTAACGCTCGAAACGGCAGCTTTGAAACTCTTTACGGTGGCCAATTTACGTTATCAACTCAGTTGATAATACTGAATTACTCTTTTATACTCTCCCACCGACGCAGTACCTCAGTTTCTTTAGAAACTTATCACCTTCATCCTATAAAAGTAAAGCATGTTTTACCAGTAAAGCGTATTTTCTCATCAAATAAAAATTGTCACTGAATGGGAAAACAAAAATCGCCTGGAGGTCAAGAAAGATTTTTTAAGCTCTGATGTTAGAATCTTGGTGATGGAAAATGTAACCCTTGTTGGATGGGCGCTTCGTTTAATCTCAAGTTGTTGACGTATCCATGCAAATGTACCGTCACAGGATATTTACCCAAGGAAATGTCGGTCATACTAGGTACATTCAGTTTTCCGTGTAAAGGGGTCATTTACTGCGGTGAAAGTACCCTTGTAGCTTTAACATTGTGAACTATTGAACTTCTAACCCTGTTGATAGAGTTTTGCAATAAGTCAAACACGTTGCTTCATTTTTATTGACATTCATTTCTAAAAATACCATATAATGTTTTGGTGGATTTCTTTTCCTCGTAACAGGGCCGCTCTCCAGTAATTTT